ATAATTGCTGTTCCAAAAGTAAAAATGAATGTTGTTTGATTCTACCTAATGGATATATTTTTCTTGATTTCTTTGGCTTTCAGTAAGCTTGGCTTTCTATGGAGTTTCTGGGCTGCTATTGCTTTTTTCAGAGGAAAGGTGCACCAAAGTAAAGATACAGATGTTGCCCTGCTAGGATCATTGCTAGTGGAAGGCTTCTAGGGTTTGATAACAACTAATGTGCTCTGAATTTCTCTACTTTCCTTTGGAATTTTATTGAGTATGCGGATTCCTGTGGCTGAGAGCACCAGCATCTCAGCGAGATGACAGCTCACAGGTAGAGACATTAGCTCTCTTTGGACCTCCTGAAAGTGGAAGTAAACTGAGGAGCAATGGAACGCTGAAGGCACAGGTTGAATATTTTCATTGCTGCCTATATCTTAGGGAAGTTCGACAGTGACACTTGGTATGGTGTGCTAACGGTACTTACACAAGCATCTTCCACACAAAGTTACAGAGCTGGAGTAAGTGTTTCATGAAACTTCTGTGAAAGTACCGATTGTATTGCTAGATCCTGCCTCCATGAGGAAGTTAACTCACCTTCCCAACCCAGAGTTTTGGTCACTATCATTTCTACGTGTTTCTGGTACTCCAGGACTGCTGTGAATGAAAGAGGAGTTGATAGTTTCAGCACTCTGAGCTTCTTGGCCTCCTTCTCTATCTGTGTGTTGGGTTGGAGGAAGGATTTATGTCTTGAAACATTTTACAGGTGGTATATTAAACATTTCACTCTGGTGTTGTTTGTTCGGAGGTAGTTTTATTTACTAAATTAAGCCTAAATAATCTAGTACCAAATTACTCTTACATGAAATGAGATGGTGATCTAAATACAGACTTTTGTGGAAAATACATGGTTACTCATGCTCTCGGCACAGAGATGAAGATTGGCAGTGATCCCTGTAGGATGTGGATTTCTAACATGGGTGAGGCTGGGTGGGACTTCTATGTAATTCTGCTTGTTTGATGACGGATGAGAAGAGTATTATGAGCTAAGATAGTGGTCTTTTCTCCTTTTTTTTTTTTTTTCTTTTTCATTTTTTTTTCACAAACTATTTGGTCTAATTAAAAACAACAGTGGAGCTAATCCCGCCCTACTAACTCTCCTTAAGGAGTGAATACCTTAAGAGTAGATTTTAATGGAAGTTATTCAAGACGACAAAAATTTCTTTATATAAAAGGAAATGTAGCACAGTCTAGCTTCAGAGTTCAGAATATGCAGAATGCCATGGTTATTGTAGTATAATACCATAGTCAATTATATTACTTATTTTATATTTTTCTTTGTCTCTTTCTCACACGAGCCTAGACTATAATTTCATCATGTTAATGAAATGTATTATACTCCTGTAGGCTGCTGTGGGTAAATAATTACAATATGAGGAAGGTGATTCATGATGTGGCCCTAAATTTGTGAAGTAGGACTTTGTGACTGATTAGGATATAAGCAAAGTGGACTGCAGTGTCCCAAAAAGCCCTTCAAAACCCCTGACAGATCAATTTATAGCCATTGCAAGTATAATCTGTCTCAGCCCAACAGATATGTCTGTCAAAAGTTTTGGTGATCTGTACCTGAGGCTTTCTTAGTGATGCAAAATTTACTTTTTGTGGTGTGTCCCTGATAACTTCTCCTTTTCTTCAACCAACCAGGTAACAAAAGCTTCAGCATTCTCATAAGAAAAAGGGGCTGACTGACAGCATGTCTTCTCCTACACATGTATCTTGCTCAACACTGAGTTGTATCAGGAATAATGTGATGCCAAGGCTGGTCCCAAAATACAGACCTATGGCTGGCAAGCTTAGGGTTTTTTATTTCTCCTGATCATTGAAACCTACACCAAATGCAGAATCCTTTTAACTTTCTCCATTGCTATTCATAGTTCTTTTTGTGGCTGCTGGAGAAAGAAATGTACACAGCTATTTAAGAAATTCATATGTGTAGACAGGAAAATGCTTTAAAAGTATAAAATACAGTGCAAGTATTGCTGTTGCTTCTTCTCCAGTCACATGCTACACTTTAAAAAGCCATCATGCTTTCTTCCACAAAAAGATCTTTATATTTCTGAACTTTCAGAAGTCTTAATCAATATAAATAACAGTTTGAGCATGATGACATCATATTTAGTCCTAGAGTTGCGCATCTCAGCTGCTTAGTCATTTGAATCAGTGGAAATAAGCATAGCAGTTAGAAGTTTCAAAAGGTCAAAGAAGCTACTGTCTTTTCAGCTTTGAATCAGCTGAGAGACTCTAGTTTCTTGGAAACATAATGCCAAGGCTGCATCTCTGCATCTCATTTCTTTTTTTTTTTTTTCCCCTTTGAAGCTCTAATTAGCTTAAAGGGCAAATCACACCACACTCAGTAGCAGAATACTGTACAGTGCAAGTTCCTTTCTATTTTCTCTTTCACTTGAAACTAGTTTAAAGAGGAGTTTTAGCCCACGTTGTGTACTGAAATATTTGACTAAAGTTCTCTTATCCAAACACCAAAAAGCCTTTCACATTTTTCAATAAAAATGAATATTTTTCAATACAAATATGACAAGTTCTTTTACCATTTTTTCAGAAGGAAAACAAGTGATAAAGTGTTCCTCAGAGAGCAATTTGTTAGAAAATTACAACCAAAATTAAAGACTCTTAAAAACTTGTTTTAAAATATGACTTGTTGTATTCTTTATAAAAGTAGCAGAATGATTTCTGGGAGGAAACCACCTATTGCCTAGACTGCAATAGAAAAAAAATGTTCTGTTTTTTACTGTCAGATGTGCTGGTCAGTAAAAAGTTATGATCAGAACCTGTGCCACCTGTCCTGTATAACAGGACTGTACAGTGTTTTAGCAATTGCTATTTCTTATATGTTTTTACAAATTACTCTTTATTCTATTTCCATATATTTTCAGCTGCCGTTCTGCTACTGAAGTGAAACTGTCCAGGCGGGTTGTTGAGTGTTTTCATTTCCTGGTATACACAGCCTTCTCAGAGCTGGGACCTATGAACTGGCGCTCTGGAAACCTCTGGCTGCTTGTGCTGCTGGTAGTTTTGCTTTGGTTTGTGAGACTTTACCTGCATTATCTGAGCCAACGGATCTTCCTTCAGACCATCTCAGTTCCTGTTACCAAGTAAGTCCTGCTGCCTTCTTTCTCTGTTGGAATATTTCTGCAAATAGCTTGATTCAAAGCAGTTCCTTTGCACTATGAAAAGAACTGATGACTAAGACTCATGCTAAGGGCTCTGCGTGCAAGTCTTGATAGGAGTTTCTGTAGAGGCTAGGAGAACAAGGACCACATCCAGACCCCAGAGGATCTGATATGTAAATGTGACCCTAACAGAAAGGTGAAGATGTTAATAATGTAAATTCTCAACCCAGAACAGTATGTGTCCATTTGTACGTCTTGTGTCATGCTTCCCTCTCTCACCTCTGAGATACTCAGCAGGTTATGCATCTTCCGCAGGAATCATTTATCATTTTGGATCAAGTATTTCAAAATGCTTAAGAAGTGCACAAAACCGAAGAAGCATTTAAATCATATTTGATGTTACCAAGTGATCTATGAGTAAAATACTTAGAAGTATTTAACACTGATATATCAATTTTACTGTGAGGACTTAAACAGGTTGACGTATTTTAACTGTATGATACATTGAATTTAGCTTGGGAATCGGAGGTTTCTAGAGAGTTCCAGGAAAATCATTACTTGTCTTTACTTGACATGAAAAAAAAGAGGGAGAACAGGTCCGCAAGATGATATATACCTGGTTCTCCATATGTTGCTGTGGGGTAGAGAATGGGTTTACAGAGCAAAAAAGATCAGACATGCTTAGAGAAGGGAAGATTTCTCCTTTTTTTTTTTTTTTTTTTTTTTTTTTTCCTTCACTTTAAAGCATTATGCAAACCTGAATTAGTCAGCAGGAGCCGGTAACATCTGTGATCTATGTCTGCTGTGATACTGAGATTATTGGCTAAAACTGGAACAGGGTGTCTGAGCAGACTCTGGACAGCACTGGGTATTGTTAAAGTGGTCTTCTAGACCTTAATGCAAAACCAGCCATATCTCGCTTCTGGCCTTGAACGGCTACGTGGGCTCAGCCAGCTGGCATTAAAACTTCTGGGAGGCCAAGCATCAAGAGTCTGTGAAAGCAACAGAAATGCAACAGAAGGAGGCAACGTGTGAGAGAGAGGTGGTCATGTTTGAAGCCACTAATCACAGCTGTCCCAAGCAGTCAGCTAGGTAAAGGATAACGTTCTCAAGCCAAGATGCCCCGGATCAGCATCCCAATCTGTAGCCGTGTGCCTGCAGAACATGACGCTGAGTTGAGCACTCTATAGTGACACCAAATACAATGGTAGCACACTTGAGAATCAAACCACTTCAACTTAATTTTGAGCAGAATTTAAGCCACTTCAATTGGCTTGAAATTTTTGCCCTAAATTTCAGCATCTGCATGCAGCTCACAGTGCCATGCAGTTCCTGTCTCCTACAGTGCCAGCAAATTTGCTCATTGTGTGAGCTTTGCAAATCTCACCATCCTATGGTGGTAAGAGGGATGTTTCCAGTCACTTTAGGGATGTTAAGAACTATGTCTTCCATATCACATTTTCTGATATGTGCAGTGTCCAAAGGCTCTGCAGTATGGAGAGAGGAGTGAGCACCTGGGGCTTGTGCTCACATTGGTGCTTCTGGGAGCGAATGTCTTCCTATAGCCCTGCCTGCACAGTCCGTCAGAGGGGATCAAATGACATGGAGGCAGAAGGAGGGGAAAAATTTTATGGTTTTGAGTATCTTCATACAGTTTTTGGTCAAGAGGGTTGTGACCAAGATAGGGATGCAACTTTACAATGCAACATGCCGTATGCATGACTCCCTTTTTTTTTAATGGTTTTCCCAGAAGCACAGACAAACTCTCTGTTTTTGCTTATTTACAGATTCCAGCTTTTCCCACACACTGTCGAACTGTGTTATCAGAACTCCTTGCTGCATACCGGTGAAGAGTTGGTCATGGTTGTGGTGGGACCCCTAACCTTGAATGCAGGGCTGCTTCTTATGGTCCTGATCAGATGGGGCTGTCAACAGCTGTTTGACTCATTCCCTTCTTTCTTGTCAAAGTTTATCATAGCTATGGGACTCTGGACAGTGCTAGACCCCTTGGCAGTTTTCGTAGTGGATTCATTCCTGGGGGTAAGTCACTTAAAATAACTTGGACATGAGACCTTGACGTAGAAGTTTGTTTTATTCAGTGAATCACTGAAAGATATGAAATTCCACCCCTGGCAATGAAACATGAAAGTTAAAAAGAAATTAAATAATAATGTTATACATTACCTTTTTATTAACAAAATTCCCATCTAATGGAGTCACTGTGTTTCTGCATAAAATTAAGAGCACTGTACAAGCCATATATGGAGATAAGAAAGTAAATCCACCACTGGAATGATTGCATCTTCTTTGAAAAGGATTACTGCAATTTTGGATGTTAATGGAGATGGATTAATGAGCAGTCCTGATTATTAGCACTTCAGATTTTTTCTAAGGACTGAAACAGAAAAAATAGAGGTTATTGTTCACTTCTCTGACATGCAAGGTAGTTTATATAACTTTCTGGCATACCTAAAAAGACTTGTGAGATTGAAAGACAGACATATTTAAGGAAAGCTTCATCACGTATAAAGTCGTGAGAGCAAAGTTCTCAACTCTATCTGTGCCGATGTATGTGCTGTGTAGCTCATCTATACTTAGGTGATTGGGGACTTTTACCATATCCAAGATAATGCTCAGTCTCCCAGAACACGTTTCAGATTTGGCTCTCACTGTGCGGGTGACATGGGGTCCTTTTGATGGGATCAGGGTGCTGAGAGCTTTTCTGGGGGTGTTGTATTGCTGTTTCTGTTTGTTTGCTGTTTCTGTTGTATTGTTTCTGTTGCTCACTCCAGATCAAGCAGTAATCCACAGTCCTTGTTGTGGATCAGGTTTTCACAGGTCTCTTGGTTCCTCATCCACTAACCTGTGTTCTGCTTTTAAGAAGTCCTGTTAAAAATGTGGTTTTTCCACTGTTTATGTGCTATTTCCCATTGCAGTGGTTTTGAAAATTAAAATTCAGCTGTTCAAGAAATTTAATTCGTGCTCACTTGGGAGGTAATTGCAATACTTTAAGCATGTGGCAACACACTGTAGGTTTCACTTGGACAGCCTGCTTCTTTTTTTTTTTTTTTTTTTAATTTCATGGTATAAACCATGCACAGGATTGAATTTTAATTGTAATTATTCTGATGACGATTTTTTTGCCTAGGAGAAAAAGGAGCATTTCCCCAAAATCCAGGCTAGAAATATTTAACTATTTAAGTCTTGTCTTCCCCCCCCCCAATACTGGTGCATTCATAAAAACTGGAGGAAAGGCTGAGGTCTGTCTTGTCTATACCACACTTGAGAAAATCATTGTCGTTGGCTTCAGTGGCATTCTGTTCAGTTCTAGTCAGACTGGATTCGTTATCAATTTCAAATAGGGCTTCTCTGCTTGGTCAGAGGGAAACGTGAGATACGCGTAAAGTAACTAAGTTCCCATTACAGCGTTAACAAAGCATGCCCTTTTCTGTACTTTGCATGGAAAACTTGGCAATTTTACCTACCAAGATTAGCTTTGGTAGAAACTAATTTGTTCAAATATTACACAATATACTATGTGTATCCTTTCCAAAATGAAACTATATCTCTTACATGTGTTTTTGTTATTGCATTTGTAATTGGTTTTTTTTCTGGCATTCTTTCAATGGCTATTTCAGATTTACTTACCCATCTATTTTAGATCACGCATTTTTAAAATGTTGTGGTATCATAAGATATTTTAGTGCTAGATTGTATTTTAGTATCCTAAATGGCCTTAATACTAATGAAAGATGACAGATAGCCCTGGACACAAAGTTTCTCTGTTTAATAACTAATTTTTTTTATTAAGGGAGGACTAGAGAGAGAGTTTCACATTTGGGGGTTTTCAACTCGTAGTTCAAGATACTCCGTCAAATGTATGATTCCAGGCCTGATTTGATATCAGCTTGTAGAAGGGGATGTTCCAGGAGTAAGAATCTTTCCTATGATTTTGGAGAATGCAGTCCTAATTCCAGTTCTGCCAGAATTTCCAGTTTTCTGCCAGAGTTGGTCTCTCTGTAGCTTGTGAAATGCAGAGTAACACCTCTTTAGCCACATGGATACCTGTCATCATAAAAGGCACTAGAGACTGCAGAGTGCTCATGTGACCATCACTCTGTGGTGTGACAAGCAGCTAAGACAGATATTGACAGATATTATTGAAACAATTTAAAATAAAGATACCTTTCTTAGATCATGTCTTTGAGCACCATAGAAGGATTGACACAATCTCTTTGCTAGAAAAAATGGATAGAAAGATACACTTCCCCCATGTCATTTTTGCCCTGTCAGAAAGAACTGTTTGGATAAGAGGGAAATTTATTCTTATTTGCCATTCAGACTTTTGCCTCTCTGGAGGGATGTCATAATGTGACTGTTGTGCAGAGGATTTTCCTTGGTAGACAGTCTCTTCAGTAAGAAAGTGGTGGAGGTAGACAGCTTTTTTCTTAGCAAGAAGAGAGGATAGAAAAGAGAGATAGAACAGAACCAGGAGACAAAGTTGTTTTTTTGTTTGTTTGTTTTTGTTTTTGTTTTTTAAGAATATGGACAGTGTCTAGTTTTCCTTTGCCATCAGCATTTTCCTGGGACTTCTAATCTCCATTAAAGAAACCTGGCAGTGTTGCAAAGGGTGGAGGGAGAACAGAAATATACTCAAGAATGTCAATCCTTGTACAGCTTGTCACTGGATTTGCAATTGTCTTTATTATGCATGTTACCACAAAGGGTGTAAAAAATGGGGAGAAAGGGGAGAAAGTTTTGAATCTTCTGAAGGATTAGTCCAGGCAGGTTTCTCAGGAAGGTGCAGGTTTCTTGAAGACTAAATGTCACAGACTCCCTTTCTGAATGATAAATACTGGATTTTCTGATGGTGCAGTTTCACATCGTTGCAAAATGTGTTAACATGATTTAATATGGATATGGCTGTCATTGTGTCACTTTAAAAAGAAAAAAGTGAAGAGAGGAATTTATTTTAGCTCTCAGCAGTAAAGACCTATGATATGTAGCTGAATTCTTCTAAATCGATCCAGCAGAGGGCAATAATATGTCAATACAGTAGCTCTTAAGAACTGGATATGAAAAAAAGAGGAAAATAATAAATTTTTGGAAAATATTTTTTTGTTTTTTACTTGAAAGCATAAAGAAACATAGAGTGCTATGAAACCTTCAGGATTCTTTGTGAATCTTTTAAAAAATGCATAAGCCACCTTATTCTCAATTAAATTACTATTTTTGTTCTATGGGTATTAATTCCTTACTAATATTTAGTATGCTAAAGGTTTGTTTCATCTTGTTTTCATCAGAATGAAAATAGTTATACATGCTTATTTGTTTACAAAACAGTTGAACATAAACTATTAATAGCATAACTAAGTAGAGTATATGACAGTCATGTACCTTTGGAGAAGCTATTAATGCTACAATTTACAGTTGCTACTTTGTACAGTTAAGAGGCATCTTTAATTCCACAACAGCAGTGGGAGTATGGTACAGTTAGATTTCTTTAGAGGTATTGATCTCATTGTGTCTCTATTCCTTCTGAGAAGAGAAAGAAAATAAATGGGAGCTCTATAATAAACTGATGCTGATGCTTATTCGTTATTCAATGTTGCAGGCTGTTCTTTGTGGCTTCTCAAACTGGTCTGACTGGACACTAGGAGTGGTGGTGTGAAGGGAATATCTGATTTTCTGACATAAAATGTTGCAGACAGATTTGATAATGCATGTACATACATTAAAATACTGCTTCATAAGGGGGAACTTGTCTCTCTTGCACTGAAAAAAGGCCAACCCCTTTGGGCAAAACTTAACAAAACCCTGCTGGTCTCCCCTGTTGATCTACTTGTAGTTGCTTTCTCCGTGTTTCTCACCTCATTGAGTCTGTGAAGCTTTGTGAATCCACTACCTTTGACTGATGCTGTTTGCAAGGCTAATGGCAAAGCTATTCTAGGTGTCAGCTAGCAACACATGTAGATGTCTTCGTAATTCCATTTGTCATTTCAGGTAACATGATGGTTATTTTCATTTTCCAGTGGTAGCACCAGACACTGACTCAGACTGAAATCGGGAATTGGTGTGTACATCCTCCAAAGTATACATGTTCAAAATCATGTAGCTCTGAGTCTGGTAGGAACCACCATTTTTCTTGTGACAAGGACAAGTCATTTTGAGACTGGTCAGTTTGGAATTATTTACTAGCACAAGTGTTTTCTGCTCACTGAGCATTCCTAAATCCAGTGTCATAAATCATTCAATACTATGTGTCTCTGGGCTTTGAAATAAGGCAAATTTCACCTTAATTACCCTGAAATGCTAATGAAGTATTTTCACTGTGACGTGGTTTCTGTTCAATAAACCACCTCTATAGGGTAGGTTTTAATTGTAATAAAATTAGCCAAAAAAAAAGTTTATTTCACATCTCTTGGTTAATTTCAAACTCTGTGTAGCAGGCTCCTAAATTTCAAGCTGTATGTTGCTTCAAGCTGTGTGTTCCACAAATTAGTGTTAAATCCTTCTCTTAAACAAATTCAGGTTCTTTTGTGTCTATAGGTGAATCATCTAATCAGGTTTGGCATTTTCTTATCTTGATTTTTTCCCCATGACAGCGACTTGGGAACAGTGTGGAGAAACCCATTGCTGATGCTGCAAAGCTCTACTGGGTCTTTCTAAGAGCAGAGGAGTCAGGGATTCCTGGTGCCTTAATCACTGTGATGCTTTATACAATCCTGTTCATCATTTCATCGACAGTATTGTACCTGTACTTTTTAAGGTATGTCTCTTTATCTCATTATTCTTTTAGGAGTTTAGGTTCAAGCCTCTTCTCCTGTAAGATAAAATAAGGTGACATCAGAAAAGACATATCACTATCACATATCCAGAGCCCAGAACTGCAGATGATCAAGGTGAGGTTATCTCCTGCTTAGGTTTTAATGCACTGTTATTTAGTGGGCGCTGTGAATCAGAGAGGGAGCCACTTATTCCCTCAACAGGAACACAACTGATATAACAATTTTTCATACAGTCTGGGAGCCTCTGTTTCTTTGGCTTCAGACAATGGTGTCTGTGTCTAAAGTGTGTGCACCTTTTATTTAGGTACTTCAGAAGATGTTGTCTTTAGTCTTCCAAGAAGGGTTTTTGTGAGAAACAGGAAAAAATCAGAAAGTTACACATGGTGTGAAGTGCAAAATCTCTGAGTCTGCAGTCGCCCTGAGTCTTAGGGCCTTTTGATGATACAGAATTTTTTTGCTTAATGTGACTGAGGCTTTAACCAACTGCATGACATGACTTCATCCAAATAATTTCTCCATGATTTTATCCCTTCACCAGTTTTCAGTTCATCATGAAATTTGACCAGCTACCTTTCTTCCCACATTTTTAGTAGGCACTATTAGCTGTACAGTCAATGACAGGTATGGAACACTGAAAATGAATGAGATAGGTTGTCTAATATGTTGAATGAAAAAGTGTATTTTATTTTTTCTGAGTACTCCTCTATAATACATCATGAATTTTGTACTGGCCTCTGATTCACCCAGTGATGAGCATTGAGTGCTGGCAATCACCAGTAAAAAGCCTTACACAAACGCAAAACACAGGCAGGTGTAAGAATAAAAAAGCTCCACATATGCCCTCCGTCTGACAGAATCATCCCTCGGTCTCCTTTCCACAAACTCCATTGCAGCAGGCAGAAAAAGATAAATGGCAGTCTAAATTTCTGCAAAGTATTTCAAAGCTCCTGCATTCCTGGAAGCTGTACACAACTCCAATGTACTGGTAGTCTAGTTAATTAGTTTTTGAGATGTTAATGCCTTCTTAATCATTGACTTAATAGTTTTGAATAGCTTCATAAGTTTTAGCTGCTGTCGTTTATTACTCAGGAAAATTAATTTAAATTAAAACATTTGTAAGGCAGGTTTTTATGAGAATATTACCAACATCTTCATTGTCTGGGGAACAGGTGCAAGATCATCAAAGGTTCCTTTCCTTCTGGATCAATTTTCCTATAATGTTTTCGAATAAATGGGTGGGGGGAGAATGTTACTAGGGGAAAAAAGTTGTCTTAGTACCACACATTTTAAAAATGATTCATAGCAAAATACAAAAGCAAAGGGAAGATAACAAAATCTGTTACAGTGCATAAGGTCTTTGAAGTTCTTTTCTTGACAAAAAAAAAGAAACATTTTGAATACTGAAGTCTGTGCAGAGCAAAGTTATGCTATAAGCTTCTGAAATTGGATCAACTTTCTCTTCTTTGTATCCACAGACCAACACAGTGGAAACCTTGGCCTTCAGTCCACTTAATGATAGCATTAAAACCTTTTAAAATGTTTTTAAGGAAAGCATCTCTGCAATTCATAACATTGTTTCCTGAATATTGATATAACAGCATTTGTTTTCAAGAGAAAATAGTATTATAACCGAGGCAGTAGTACCCCTTTATATCAATATTTCTCAGGGGTTATATCTCTAAGATATTCAAATGTAATTTTGTTTGATTCAGAAAACATATATTTTTTACACAGGCATCCACCATATCTTTCTCTCATAGGGTAAACCAGAATAAATATTGAGATGTCTTCTGTGTCCTAAGACACCAGTCCACAGGGAAGACTTTGACTGTTGGATGGTGGAGTTGGTGCCATTGGTTAGAATTACTCAGCAATTTGCCATTTAACAGAAGTGTGCAGCAGTGTATAAAAGGGAGAGAACAGTGAACGCACCAGACCACCAAAGCAAGTAGGGGAAGTGTCTTTTTCTGCCATAGCTAGAAAGCTTCATGGCAGCACTGATAAACAACCAGGAAGCTAATGAAATCATGGGCAGGGGATAAACAGCAGTAGGCATCTATTTGTATCTTTCTAAACCAACATACCTCAATAAATCTGGCTCCCCTTGGGTGTCTTGGGAGTCTGTAGCACATCGAACATGGAGAGATATTCTAATTACTTTTTGGAAAAATGAAGTGGCATTGGTTAAAATTCCTTCATTTTAATTCTAATAGACATTAGAAACAGTCAGGAATTTGTTGGTGAAATGTTTTCTGCATTGTGAGAAAATGCAGACCTATCTCAACTAAACATGCCTGCTGGAGAGTCTAAATTTCCTAGTATTGCAATATTTTTTGGGGAAAAGCTTCAAAGATCTAACTTTTTTAATGTTAACAGCAAATTTTTTTTTTACAGTTGTTTTCTAGAAAAGGATGAGAAAGGCTGAAGTGAAGATGTAATAAATTGTTTTAAATTACTCAAACTACCCTTCAATTTTTGGTTTGTGTAAATTTTTGAGGAGTCAGTTCTTTGGTATGACTCTGGTCAGTAAATAATTACAATTTTTTTTTTTTTCATTCTGATAAATAAATGAACTTGTAAGGTATTATACTGGGTCTCATATATCTAGAAAATAACATCTGATATTTGTTTTACTCTTTGTGGCATTAGCAATAGAAATGATTACTGTCATATTTATAAGAGGCCATTTTAAGATACAAGGAGTGTTTTATTATTTTTTGTGCCAAAGAAAAGAAATTAAAGCAGGTAACTGGAGAAGGCTGAGTACATTTGGGCAAAAGGAACAAAGCTGGAAGACAGGCTTCATGATTCTTAATTAATTCAAAGTTAATTATATTGTTTATAACCATGTGCTTAAAATCTTCATATAGAAAATGTTTATGGCAGCAAATAGACAGTAATTTAACTGCATTAAATTTTACTTCATTTGAAGTCAGAATGTTACATTAAGTGAGCTTGAATAAATGGCAAGGTCTTTTTCTTGTTTAGCAAGATAAGTGGCAAGTCATTTAAATTTCTGACCTGGAATTTCAAAGACTAACATCATAGAATATTATTGTTTCAAGATGAGTGGAAGCCCAGAAAACCCCCTAGCTTGATTGTTAGTTTTTCGACTAAGCACAAGATAATTATAAGTTATGAGTCAATGTTTGCAAAAATATATCTGTTGTGTCGAAAGGACATCTAATGTAGGTCTAGGGATTAAGAAATGAACTTTTATTTGAAGATACTGTAGAATTTAAAAAATTACTCTATGAAGGATATTAGTTATTTATAAAATATTTTATATTTTGTAACATGTTTTAAAATACTTTATTATCCTACTCTGCCTTAGCACTGATTTGCATTTCACACTTTAGAGCTTTTTCTATTATTTCTTGGTGGCCAGTTTGTTTATAATCCCAGTACCTACATCTCGATTAGGTTATCTTCTAGCTGATCTCCTCTTTTGATAAGAGAATCCTAAAATGACATCTTGGAAACTGTGCAGATTTAGGGCTGCAGCTTCAAAAAGGAGTGTTTCAGAAAAGAAGGGTGTGGAAAAAAGCAGAGAACGCCTTTGCAGCAAAGCAGGAGATATAAATCCTTAATCTGATGTTGAGCCAGGCTGCCAGATTTCAGTATCAGAACACCCACTCTATCACAGAAACTCTTGGATATAGAACTTGATCCTAAGGTACATATACCCCTTTGAAGAGAGAGCTAAAGCTCCTCCAGAGATCAAGTTGAAAAACTGTCTGTTGGTGCATCTCCTTATTTCTGTTCCACGCTAGATCTTGGTTGTGGGCAAAATTGTACTAAGCAGTTTATTGATTGTGCTTCTCTGCAATTACTCTGTGCACTGTAAGGTGAGATGTAGAGCTAGTGTAAATGTGAACTTCATTCTGATTTACTTAGCAGTCCACTACCTTCCACCCACACACACATGAGTTAGCACATACATGCCAACACAAGACTCAAGAATAAGGATCATCCACAAGAGCTGCATTTTAGTGCATGCCATGAGAAGAATGAGAGTTTGGAGGGTCAAAGAGGTTGTGCCTGTACTCTCTCCCACCTGAAAAGAAATGAAGGATCTGTAGAGCCCCATGGGAATCTGGACTTTTTGATGGTTGCAGCACCACACAGCAATCCCTACACTTCTCATGAAAGCCGGTCAGTCTCCAGGAAGGATGGAAAAAACGAGATTGGCACCAAGCAACATTTGAATTGTAATAAAGTATTAGCTTGGAAAAGGGTAAAAAAGGAAAGACCTCAGGTTAATATCCAAGCTCAAGATTCCAGATTTTCTGATCTTTATTTTCAGAACCCCTAGTTTTGGAATAAAAGTAGAATGAGAAAGAGATGAACTTGAAGAGGTTCCATTTGAATTAAACAGCAATGTTTTGAAGTTTTAAAAGTTCATCTAAGGCTAAAAATGTGACACTAGGCTTTTCCAAAAGCCTCACAATATTTCTTGGTTTCACCTACATTAAGAAATACCACACAGCAAGCCTTTCTTGTGGTAGGGAATTTTACTGCGTAGTGCTTATTCAATTCCCTACCACAGTACAGAAATGTCATAGAAAAATAAATCCAACAAAAGAAATGAACTTTTCTAACATCAAGAGAAGTTTAGATTGTATAGACTTCAGGCTTGGGGTTGCAAAAAATGGGGAGTAGTTCCTTTCTTTATGATGTGGTTTGCTAATTACCGAACCCTAGGACAGCAGGACTTCCATTCATGCTAACTGAGGTACTCCATGTAAGCACTGGAATTAGTTACCCAGCTCAATTCTAAGGACAGATATTGCACATTTCTGAAGGAAAGGAAGATCAGATTCTGTATGGGAAGTCAATATCTTGAAATAATGAAAAGAAATTGCAGCTTAATTTTATGTGATTTTATTCAGGTATTGTAAAGTCTCTAGATGATTGAGGAGAGTTGTATGTTGGAGAACTTGTGGTAAAGAAGCTTCTTACTCATGGGTAAAGAACATAATCATGAAGGGAGAACCAAAATTTAGAAGTCTACAAAAGGTTACATCAGCTTTTTCTTTTTTGCATGAAGAGTCCCTTCAAAGATAAACCAAGTGTATCGTTTCTATCCTTAGGCTACATAGCGAAGGTTGGTTATTGGATATGTTTCAACGCATTCATGGTGAGGAAGGCACATTCTTTGTTCCACTGGACTTAGAGATTTCCAGTCAGGAACTGAGCTACATTATGAAGAGGGCTGAGCAGTGGAGAGGAATCAACGGTGAAAGACGGATGGTGAGTGGCGAACAGAGTCTCCAAAAGGAGTCTGGTCCAAATTAATGCTTTGTATTTCTGGATATTACCTAAAAGGACCTAGATATATAAGAAAAATATTCTTATGGTGCTTCTTTGAATGGAAATGCTAAGAAGCATGTTCAGGATCATTTTGGGAAATTGTGTGTGCATTGCTGAAGCATCCTCAGGAGTTACAATCTGTTTAGTATCCAAAGGCTTAGCAGCATTACTGATGTCAAAAAATACCTATGCCATCTGGTGATTCTTGACTGGGTTGTAGAAACTTACTACTTGTTTAAATGCTAGTACCATCCCAGGTAACTTCTCAGCCAGCTCAGCAAACTGGGAAGCTCCATGGACAAGTGGAATTTACCCCCTGCAAGGGCATGGATGGGGCTGCCCTGAGGAGGGGGTGCGAGTTTGGTCAGTCAGATGTGGTAATCCCTATCTTACAGTACAGATAGTGGTCTGAGTTGGAAATGTTCAAGGGGAGGTAGGAGAGGTCTGAAGTTGGTCTGTTCTACTTTGGCTGTCAAAAAAATTCCTCTTTCTTTTCTGTTAAGCTACTAGCATCTAGTTCCATACACAGACTTAAGCTGTGATGTGAAAGAGATATATCTGTGTTTGCAAAGTGTCTACTGTTGGGGATCCCATTCACAAATGGTGCTTCTGGACATAACTGCTTTCAGAGAACTGAAAATAACAGAAATAACATAGTCACTACTCTGTGAGGGTCATCGTCTGTCTTCTGTGATGGACATTTTCTTCCCTGCTTTCTAGCTTTGCATCAGCATTATTAATTCCCATATGACTATCTTATAAAACAGCTCTTGGACAGTTGTTAAAAGTGCTCATCAATTGAATTTATACATCTATGAGTCACTCTGTGCACTGTACTTTGTTCAGTAACTCTCCTGCTTCAGTGTAAAAATTAACAGATTCCGGAGAGGAAATTAGTCCTCTGAAGTATGTATGAGTTGTTTGTTTTGTTTTCTTTTCTAATCCACCGGAACAAGTGATTTCAGATTAGGGTCTGCGGCTTTTTCAAGTCTCTGTAGCTACCTCTGAAAGATCAGCAGTTTATATAAATATATAGCCTCAGTTGTCACTGCTATAAACATCTGGCACAGCTGTAATTATTTTCCACGTTTTTTCCTGATGACAGTTTGGACCCTGAAAGGAAAAATAAAAGGTGAATGTGCCAATTGAACAAAAGAACAGATACTCAGTGCGTTTAATTTTTTGTGGAAAAGTGAAGAGCACCACACTGCATTTCAAGAGGGGAGGGAAAAGGTATGAATGAGTGAATGCACTACAACAGCCACCTACCTCAGACATTCCCACTTTTTATACAGATAATACTTATTTGCTTTAGCCCAGTAAGCAAAATAACCCTTTTTTCTCACTTAAAATCTTTCTATAGTAAGTCAAAGTGTAGCCACTGATGACTGGTTTCTATTACCTTTGTTACAAGTTAAGTAGGGTCAAACAAAGAATATAAATTCTAGACTTCATTTTACATGCCAGTACTACCAACGCCATGTGGAAAACGTGGTGGATAAGGCAACTGCAAACAACTACTTTTCTGTTTCAAATGCTGAATACATTTATAAAGATATTATCACCATATCATTTCTTGTAGCAGTACAGAAAGGGTTGAATGAGGGGGTAAAAAAAAAAAAAAAGAGAGGGGGGAAAGGAGGAGAGGATGAGGGTAAAGACAAATAGAAATGAATGGAAAGAAAAATTACTTCTCTGTATACAAATAATCTGTCCCTGAATGGAAGAAATTTGGATTGTCCACTGCTATAATAATAAGTATTTCAGAGGACAGAAAGACATGACTCATAGCTATAGACATATGTAAGTGCCTCATTTTGATCCCAGTATGCAGCTTGGTGTGTATGAAAAGCCACATTGAAATGTGGGTACCTGACCTTAGTCTGAGATCCCTTAAAACGGACCCAGCTCTGGCCAGATCCAGTGGCACAGAGGGTCCTGTCAGAGCAGGGGGAGGGTTCCCTGGGCTGTGTAGGGAGCAGCATGGATTTCATTTGACAGAGTGTGCACACTTTTGTTTTTACTCTCAGTCCCCAAGCTTCTGATTCCTATTCTGTCTACATCTGCATAAATTTCATGCCTTTTCCTTTATATAAGCCCTAGTCAAATGCCAGGCTATGACTGTTAAACATTCCTGTTCTTTATGGGACATATTGGTGCAGACTATACAATATAAGCAGATAAGAGTAATGTGGAAGAGTGCAGAAGTTTGCATCACTGGCATCAGTAGGATCTCTACCATTCACTTCAGTGGGCACAAGATCTGTGCTATCTGTATGGAACATGAATACTGTGAAAAAAGAATCAATGTTCTTCAGAAACCTGAAATCTTCCCCTTCTGCTCCATTTTTTTGTTGTTGTTGTTTAAATCATTCTGATTGAAAAGAGAACCATCAAACCAAGTTTCATTAGCTCTTTGGCAAATCTAGTCTTGCAATAAAAATCTTGCTCCATTCCAGAAACAGGTTCTCCAAATGGAGCTCTCTGCAGGACTGGGAGCTATACTTTCAGGTCTCTTATGCTCCTAGGCATTGCAAATACTGAAAGACCCTGTCATGAATTTGCATAAGGTATTTATCTTGTCCCTTTCTTTTTGTATGCCTAATTGTACAAAGTAATCAGTATGGAAGACACATCACTAGGCCTTATAGCGTGCATTATTAATGTGTTAATTTTTAAATAAGATACCAAATTAACTGTGAGCAATTTTTATAAAGGGAAGCACGAGTCTGCCATATCTTACATCACTCCATATAAAAAATATATTTTAAATGGAAGTCATTCAAGTAAATAGTCAGTCAAACCTTCTGGAAAAAATAGGTCTACGTTTTTGCAATATTTTCTTGCTATTAACCATGTGCTTCTCATTTTTATTCCCTGGATTAAAAATTGCCCCATAAATGGGTATTTTATAATATGCTTAATTTCCTTTTATTAAATTGATAAATGCAGCAGCAGAGGACACATTTACAGTATGATGAGAATTTAAGGTTATTGCATTTTATAATTTTTATATTGTTCAGAGAAGTGATTTGTCATTTGTGGAATGACATCCATGCCATCATTTCAAAGTATTTTTAGTTGTTCTTTTGATAGGAAAAAGGTCACTTTCTGCAGACCAGGAAGACATCACTCTATTAAACTAATTTGCCTACATGCAAATTTTGTCATTTTTACCTCATTAACTATTTATCATAGAGTAAAAAAATATATATATTCATGAAGGGGCAGCTAGCAGCCTGATGGAGCTGGAACTAATATTTTGCAACTCTAATGATTTTTTGCATCCATAATTAGATAGCATAAGGTTGATATGATTAGGTCAGGATGTAGTGTTTTTCATTAAAATACATTTTAGAAGCTGTTTTCATAATCTGCCCTTGCAATTAAATAATGAGCCTATGAGTTTAATATTATCGACCCAATTATTATCCCATGGAAAAGTATACCTTTAATAAATTTGTGCCGTAGGACCTTCATTAGCAACAAAATGAATTATATTTTCAGGTACACAGATTATATGGCCACAATCGTATTTATGTAGCGGTTTGGAAGGCACTGTGGGGAGAGAGCCACCAAAGCCCCCTACCATATACACAAATGCACTTGATTATTTTGGAAGAAGTAATTTACAATGCCTTTAACGAGGAAAGCTGCAAAGAAGTAAAAATGCCACCTAGAGAGGCAGACAGAAACATTTGTAGAAACAAACATTTGCACAAACAGTGTTCTGACCACCCTCTTCTAGGATGAAGCCTGGACCCTCAGTCCTCAGCCTGTTATAAATATGGAGGCAGAGCTGAATATTTACTGATCTTTTATTAGATATGGGCATATGTTAAATGTGTGTCAAATTCCAGAATCAGGAATATCAGGACTAGTGGCAGACAGGAATACATTAATTTACCATTAAAAACAGCAGATCAGTTATGAGGGTCAGGACTCTGGATTTTAGCCAATTTTTTTTTTTTTTTTTTTTTTTTTTTTTTTTTTCTCTCAGATATAATAAAAATAACAGACTTGCTGTCCTCACAAAGTAATCAGTTTCCCCAAATTAATGTCAGTTCAGAGCCAAGATATCACGTGGGGGTTTGTTTTGCCCAAACAAATAATAGTTTTTTAAAAAATGAAAAAGAAAAAGAGGAAAGTATTTCAAGTAAAACAGGCTCTGACCAGGGTGGTTTTCTGAATAGAGTCTGCTGTGGTTGGATTGGTTTTCAGGTGTGCAGTGCCCAGTGCATCACTTTGTTCATGTTTAAAGCCTCTGAACTATTTATCAGGTGAATTGTTATCAGCAGGAGTGAAAAAGGGAAAAAATCTGGCCCTCGGTGATTTTTATGGGATTTAGCCCTCAAAGTACCACAATTCTTGCAGTGGCACATTTTACATAATCATACTAATGATGAGAAAAGTTGTTCAAGCAGCAAGCTGAAACAACACCATTAGTATACCAAGCATAGGACCAAAAGGTTTGTACATAGAAAGGGTTTCTGAAAAAAATGCAAACTCTATAGGCAAGAAGATAATGTGAAACTTACACTTGAAATAAAGCCTGATGCACTGCAAAATTCTTTTAATGAGAGTAGGGCTAATTTTCTAATTCTAAAATGATATTATAGCAACCATAAAAAATTACCCGGCAGTAGTTTTTTGAAAGGAAAATATATTTGTAATTATCTTGAACACACAAGATTACTTCAGGGCCTATTATCGACACAATTTTTGGTACCACTTTACACTAATTTGCATTTATTACTCTCAGGCCAACTATTAATATGTTAATAAATAAGTCATTAATACTTGTTATTTAATTGCTATCTATTTATTCTTGTTCAATAATGCATTAATTACTTGTGAATAGTTGAGGGCAAAATCCTGCCCTTGCTGGTGGAATCAGCAGTGGCAAGAGAGGAAACCGATGTTGGATGTGTTTGTGTTAC